TATAGTAAGCATTACCATAATGTCGGTAATAATTACGATATAGTATAACCAACCATGTAATATTTTTACTAAGAATTATAGCAAGTTAAACTAAAATTATTGTATGGATACAAATGGTAAAATGGTAGGTAAAGTAACTCTTTTATATAGTCAATATTACCAGAATGATATTTGCTAAATGATGACAGATGTAACTATATGAATATTAAATCTCACTATTATTATATATATATTTGTGAGTGAGAAATTACCATATATATGTGGTAAGAGTAACTAAACAATTATTTAAGACAATCATTGACTATATATTTGTGTTTATTCTACTATATTTTGCAGGTTCCACCAACTATAAAAATATGGTGGACTATAAAATATAGTGAGAGATTATAGTTGATTCAACTATATTTTTCTATCAGTGCATGTACCAATAGCGTGGGACGATCAACATTTACCGTATCTGAGAGACGGTACTGCAAAAACTCCGTAATAATAACTCGCTCGCATTTCTGCGAAAGCTGCGGCTATTGTGCCGCTTTATGCGTGCGTGCGTGCGTGCGTGCGTGCGTGTGTGTATGTATATATGTGTGTGCGCCCGTTGCCGTCACCGGGGCGGCGTTCGATCCTCGAATCCTGCCGTCTCGAGGCACGACGACGACGACGAAAGCCGCGACGCCGTTGCGACAAGTTACGTGTGCGTAATCGTGCGCTGACACATAAGTGTATAGAGAGCAAAAGGCTTGATCTGTTGTACAAGTTAGTAGTTGACGTATACGTCGTTGTATGTGTCGCATCCTCTCGCTCGTAAGCGCAGGACGCGCGTGCCGGATATACCGATCCGATGTCGAAGGAGCGGCGGGACGCTCCTTCCCGGCGCTCCTGCCGCCGTTGTTCTCTCTTCTCGGCCATTCTCTCGTCGCCTTCGAGAGAACGAGCGACGACAGAGACCTCTTCGAGGAACGGTCTCTCTTTCTCCTCCCTTCTCCCTTGCTCTCCTTCTCGTTTGCTCGTCGTGAGCGGTCCCACGCGCGAGTCCTCGAGGAGTCCGATTCTCCAGAATTGAAATATCGAAGATGGGCCGACCGCGCGACGGCACTCGGGAAACATTTTTACGGCGAGGTCGCGCGTGACCCGTGGGGGAAGGGAGGGGGGGACGGTCGAAATGTTGACCCTACTCTCGACCTCGGTATTCCGTTTAACGCTGATTTCATGCTCCGAAGCCTGAGTCAACTTATTTCGATTCGATTTAACCCGCAGCTTTCTGCTGCGGAAGAGGTCCTCTCGAGAGGCCACGTGCAACAAATTGTTCGTTTTCCGCCATTTCGGCCGCCGAGTAGGAGCCGGAGGAGGACTTGAGCTTCCGTGTAAATCCGACCTCCGCTCCGCAGTCGAAATTTTTATTCTGCTTTCGACCTCGAGCTCGATCTCGCTTAACGCGCAACTTGACGCGCTAAAGTCAGCCAATCTTGATTTTATTTAAGCGACACCTTTGCCGGCAGATTCTCTCGAGAAACCGCCAATGACAAATTGTTCGTTTTCCGCCGTTTCGAGGCGCTGAGTAGTTTCTGCATAAATCAAGACCGGTATTTTCAACTCTCTCTCTCTCTCTCTCTCTCTTTCTCTTCTTTATCGACAAACGTGAGTTTTAAGATGGATCACGGGTCCTCTGCCGATTAGCCGCAAGCCACCTTGCCATTGGTCCCCCCCTCGATTCTATGAATGTCACGGACGTTTCAGGCAGGTCGAGAGCCAGATTCGAAATTTCGACTCGGCCGTTTTCGAAAACGCGATATCGGTCGCGCACGGTCAAGGGGACTCGCGCGCGCCCGGGAAGATTGAAATTTCGCGAACGAGCACGCTGACAAATCGCGCGATACGTTATCGTGGCAGCGGCCTAAGGAGCGCGGATCCGAGCCGTAAATCATTGTTGAAGCGGGTTGGCGCGCGCGGAACGACAACTTGAACGACGTGTTTCGCCCCGACACGAGCCGCGAGAAACGACGTCGATATTTTCGCAGCGCGGACTTTCCCTCCCCCGCCGCCCGCCGTGGCCGCTCGACTTGAACGGGATTTCGATGGAGGGATAGCGAGAGAGACTCTTTGATAAAAATCGAACGAGCAAACGTAATAAGGCTCTCTCTCTCTCTCTCTCTCTCTCTCGGCCGAGCCGCCGCGCCGGTTGCAGGCGCGGTTTGCTTGTGTTCCGCGATACAAAGTGCCGCGCGCAATTCAATGGAATATCAAACAGATTGATTTGATAAGCTTGATTGATATTTCCTCGAATTGCACGTGCGCGAGAGCGCTTTATATCGCAGAGCACAGCGAGTCACCTGCTCTCGCCGTTGTCGTTGCACCTGCCTGCTCGTCAGCGGCCGGGCGGAATTTCGCGCGGCGCGGAAACGAACGCGCGGAGCGCGAAGCTACGTCGATCATCCGGCAAAGTTCTCTCTTTCCCTTTTTCGCCCGTTTTTCCTTTTCTTTTTTTAACGACTCTCCCTTTCCCTCACGCCGATATACACACGCGTGCGTCAGCTCGGCCTGCGCTCCGGCGAGAAGTCGGCAAATGCAAAATGTCTCCTCCTCTCCCGCGCTTCTTCTCCGCTAACGGAAGACCTTTCTCGAGCGGCCGACGTTACGAGAACGTATTATTCCTCTCGTTAAGGTGGTATGTCGTGTCGCAATCGATCGAGCAGCGGCGAGCTCGGCTGCTCCGACGTCGATTAAACGAGCGAACGGAAGCAAGCTCGCGGTGGCTCGGTGCAAATGAGTTGCTCGCGCCCCGACGCGCGCTCCTCCTTCCTTTCTCCTCATTTCCCGGCTCGATGTTACTCGCGCCGCGCGGAGCTCGAAGAGGAGCGGCCGGAGTCGAAATCTCGGGCCCACTTTCGACCTCACACGATGCCGCGCGTTCCATCACGCTAATTTCATCAGCTCCGAAGCGCAGATCGGTCTGTCTCGATTGTACTCGAGGCCCCGCGCCGCCTGCCGGCTGCCGACGTCAGGAGCGACGGAATACACGCTGGAAAATCCTGCGGAATACCTCCGAGCGGAAAGACCCGTGTCCGCAAAGTGACACTCGCGATCGATCGATCGAGAGCGGATCGGTAAATTGCTACGAGCCCTTTCTCTTTCGGCCCGATCACCATCGATGGATCAGCACAAAATTCACGCGACCATGCAACCTGCCTCTCTCCTCGTGACGTTCGTCCTGCGTTAATCCCTGCATCCTTGTCGCTTGTTGCACGCTCGAGCGAAAGGACAGTGTTCTTCGGGCTGCTTCACCGAGAGCCGATCTCGAGCCGATCGCTAGTGTCATTCCACGGATACATCTTCCCGTTCCGTCGTGCGTTTCGCAAGAATTTTTACAGCGTCGTTCGCTCAACGTCAAGATGGCCGCGGCGCTCCAGCGCCGCCGAAAAGAATCCTCCCGAGGACCCACGAGGACACGAATTGCAAATTGCGCGCCATTTTCCGCCCCGCATCCGGAGGATCCGCGCTGATCGGCTCTTCCGTTCCGTCTCCGCGAACGAAGCGTCCCCCAGGAATCCACAGGCGTGAGACGGAGACGCTCGAGGTCGAAGGTAGGCCCGCGAATTTCTCGCCGGCGCGCGTTCTCCATATCGAAGGATCGAGAATGCCTCGATCGAGACGCGCGCGCGCGCGCCCCGGCCGGCGAGGACGAGCGCAACCCTCTCGGGTGCGCGGTGCAGCGCGGCGGCGGCGCCGGCAACCCCTTTGCACCCCGGTCACTCGAGGTAACTCGAGCGAAATGCCAGAGGGAAGTTGGTAACGAATGAAGTTTGTAGTGACCGATGGTGCGTACGTTTCGCGCTTACCCCGCATGTGCATGCCGCTCCTTTTCTTTCGCATCGACTTTGCGCTACGTAACTTGCTATGCGCGTAAGTATACGCACAGTGCAATGTGCCTCTACGAGGATTCTCCACACCGTGTACATATATATGTATATGTATGTATGTATGTATACACACACGCACGCACGTTTACGCAGCTTCTGGTGCACTCGCGTGCGCGCGCGCGTTCGCAACCGCGCGCGACTTGCGTGCTCTTCTCTCTCTCTCTCTCTCTCTCTTTCTCTCTCTCTCTTTCTATCTCTCTCTCTCTCTCTCTCGCTTTCGTCGTCTCGTTTCTTCTTTTTCTCACTTTGCGCAAAAGAATTCCTGAATATTCGGGATTCTTGAATTCTTCGCGTCCGCGCGTCGTGGCTCCTCGAGTCGCGCGGCAGGAGAGAGGAAGCGCGCTCTTTGCGATCGCGGCGACGAGTCCGCGCGCGACTTCTCTCGTCCCTTTGTTTCTCTCTCTCTCTCTCTCTCTCTCTCTTTTTTTTTCTTTCTTTATTCTTATCATTGTTACCACACGCGGCCGCTTACACGCACTCGCCCGCGACGTGCACGGGCTTCTTTGCCTGTAACTTGGCGTTGTTGTCTTGGCGTGACCCGACGAGAGTAACGAGTGATTATTAATAACGTAATGAGCGCCCCGGTAAGCTCTCTGGTGGTGATGAATAACGCAGTAGTGGTTAACGTAACGACGGCGAGAATCATCGCGGCTGATTTGCGCTCGCGGCTGTCGCCGCGAGGCAAATCCGCGACGACGACGTGGCGCGAATGGCCGAGCGCTCTGATGGGAATCTCTTCCTCCTCCTCCTCGCGAAAGCATGTCGCATTATTATTATTATTATTCATTTCCTCAGTGTGATTACTTTTTTCACTATCCTGCACGCTTCATCGCGCCCGTGAATCGGCACGAGGCGAAGACTCGCGGAGAGAGACAACGTAATGTCGGTTCTTCGCTCTCGTCCTTCTCTCTCCCTCCCCCCTCCCCTCCCCTACTCCCCCCTTTTCTTTCTTTCAACTTGAATTCCCCGTCGACGAGCAACGTCGATCGCGCTCTCTCGCCACGTCGATCGCCGCCGGATGATGTAGACGCGAGTCTTACGTCCTTCCCATTCGGACGTCACAAGCCGTGTCTCTCGTATTTATAGGTGCAGCAGCTAATCTACGTAAGGAAGTGATCCGCAACAAGATTAGAGCCATTGGCAAGATGGCGCGTGTCTTCTCCGTCCTGAGGTGAGCGAACGCGGCCGAAGGATAGCAGCGCGGTATGTACAATGCGCCTCACTCTCTCACCGGGCCGGGTCTTTCTTTTGCAGAGAGGAGAGCGAGAGCGTGCTGCAGTTGAAGGGCTTGACGCCGACCGGAGCCCTGCCGCTCGGTGCATTATCCGGCGGCAAGACCTCCCTGAAAAATGGTGAGCAATCGCATCAGTCGCGATCGCGATCGGCAGTTGACGCGTGAAACGCGCTCGGAAACGTCGCCGCTGATCAAAATGTCGTTGTCGTTTCACTTTCGGATCCGGGAGAAAGACGCGAGAGAGACCAGACGTTCTCATTGTTTGCGGACGCCGGCGTCCTATAATGATATTACATTCGGGTAATCTCGAGAAAATTGAATCTTCGCTCCGAGCTCTCGATAATCTTCTGACATTTTTTCTCTTTTCTTTTTTCCCTCTCTCTCTCTCGCCCCTACCTTCCACCCGTCGCCAGCTCTCCAAGGCTTCTCGCCGAATCACAAAATCACCACATTCGCCGAGGCCAAGGGCTTAGACGCCATAAACGAAAGAATGCCACCGAGGAAGGACGCACCGCCCACGCCGGTGAACGTCGAGGAGAAGCCCGTGACAAAACCGCCGCCTCCTGCGGGAGACAAGCGGGACCACAACACGCCGCAACCGCAATCGTGAGCCCCATACTCGTCCAATCAAGGTACGTGGCCGAGAGGCATCCGTCCTAAACGCCGCGGCAGAAGGAAACTGAGAGAGGCCTTTCTCTCTTTCTCTCTATCTCTGTCGGCTCGCTCAAATTTTACGGAACTGTTGCGCGCGATTGCGAGCACGCTGCCGGACGCGTCGCAGCGAGCTGACTCGTCGAGTGAGAAGAGAAAGCAGACGTCTCGCCGGCCTGAAGGGAGACTGAACGTCTTTTACGATGAGGATTTCTCAGGGCGGACGCGCTTCGTTTCGAAAAATCAGACCAATACCTCGAAAACGATACATACAGGTGGTGCATCAGTGTCTTTGTATTTGAGTACACTCTTGTACTCGAGTCGGTAGATATCAATGCATTGTTCCGAAGTACCGAGAGTCAACACTCGAACATTCTTCAAATTTTAATTCTAAAATTTTTCATTTTAATTCCTAAATTTTTCATTTTAATTTAAAAATTTTTAATTTTAATTGTAAACTTTTCAATTTTAATTTTCCTCAAGTGCACAATTACTCCGAAGAGAGACCATCATCCTAAAAACAATACGCACAAGTGTGCTAACATCTACTCATTCGAGTACACGCTTGCTGTACTCGAACGAGCAGATACTCATTCACACGGCTGTGTTCTCCTGGAAAATTGAAACTTTGAGATTCAGAAGCTGGGATGATTTCCCGAAAAGTCCCAATACCGAAATCCGAATGTCGAGTCAACACCCCGAGAGACATAATTTTTCCCAATCCACTCGTTCGAGTTGACGCTAATTTTCGTTCTCAAATGAGTGGATATCAACGCAGTCGACTACGTGCATCGTCCCGAAACGTGAAAACTTCGGAATTCCGGAGCTGGGACGATTTCGTGGAAATTCGGTGTGTGACACCGAATGCCAATCTCGAAATACAATTCTGTCCCAGAGAGAGAGACTATTACAACAAGAAAGAGAGTACGTGTGTGTTAATATCTACCCATGCGAGTGCACTCCTGCTGTAGTCAAGTGAATAGATATTAATTCAGCCGGCCGTGCAACGAGGAGACAGACAATCCCAGTGAAATTCCGGTGAAATTGTATTTCGGGAGGTGATTCCGGTGTTATAGATTTTCCGGCGGGAGTTTCGTCTCGCCCCTGAAATTTCGATAAATTTCCTACGGAACGGTGCGTGTCCGCCTGTTTCACAGTGTGTCCGTTGTTTTCAGATGGCGTGGACGGGTCCTAAAGATCCCCGGCGCTATCGCCACCGCCACCACCACCACCACCACCGAACATTGCGAAAACATTACTCGTCTCTTCCCCCGGCTGTTACAACTAGCGCGCTATTCATCGAGTCAGGAGAAGCCGTCGCCGTCGCAAGAGGAAGATCAGGAGCGAACGAACGGACGGGCGGGAGCGGAGCGCGATCTCTCGTCGTCGATACAACGTTTTTCCAACACCGAGCGTGATCAGCCGCGCGAAAGAAGAAAACCGAAGAGAAGGAGCCGCGCACGATCGATATATATACACACACACGTACACACATATGCACACACACATACATACACACACACACACGACACACATACACGTCCAGCCGGGCGTTTTAGCGGAACTCCTCTCCTCCGAAGATCTGCCTCCGTCTCTTTTCGCGAGCAGAACGAAAAACGTTTGTTTAGCGCCTCCTTTCTGCGATGAACCGCGCTACGTCCTCCGATCTCTCTCTCTCTCTCTCTCTCTCTCTCCTCTCTCTCTCTCTCCCCCTCTCCCTCTTTGCCCTTGCTCGCTCACTTTTTCATGTCGCCTCTCTTATCGCAGTCTCGCTCTCTCCTTTTCCCGGCATGCGTGTGTCCTGCGGGCTACATCGCGCACACGCCCGCAATGTATCGACTATGAGCGATCGAGCGATGTGTAATCTGGATAGATTCGTTACGCGTCGGCCGGGTCAGATGTCACGCACAGGAGGGTGGACGATCCTAGGCGCTATATTTCTCTCTCGTCCTTTCCATCTCCTGCGCAACGACGAGGGAGTGAGAGACAAAGAGAGAGAGAGAGAGAGAGAGAAAGGAGAAAGAGACGGAATGGACGACACGCGCGCGGTTAATGTCTAATGAGAAGACAATGGTAGACAGCAGAGACAGCGCATGAAAGAGAAAGAGAGAGAGAGAGAGAGAGAGAGAGAGAGAAAGAGAGAGAAAGAGAGAGAGAGAGAGAACGGACGAGCGGTCTCCGCCAAAGAAACAAAAAGGCAGCTGGCCTGTCGGTACACGGCGGAGCTTCCGGTTTTAGAGGTTTTACTAGGTTCTTAAGATGTCCGCCCTGAGGTGATGCAAGGGCGTCCCCCCCACGCACTGGGTGGGGTTACTTAAATCTTAAGTCGAGCTAAGCTTAGGGCTAAGTCGTAAGTTATATATCGGAGAATTTATTTAATATACATAAAATATAAATATTATATACATATATATTATATGTATACATGTATATATACATATGTGTGTGTGTGTGTGTGTAAATATATGCACACATATGTATGTATATATATACATATATATAAAATTATTATCATTATTATGATTATTCATTATGTAATCCGAATACCGTGTTTCGCTGCCGCGCGTGCACACGTCCGTCGCGATCGCGGTCGCCGAAGTAATTAACGCGCGAAAGGCGCACGTCGTACGCGCGCATCCGCAAGTACCCGAATGCGCTCCCCCGTCGCACACAACGCTCTCTCCTGGCCGTTCCGCCCCTCCCCCCCTCCGACCGATCCGATCGACGTGTCCTCGTTCGTGCGATATCGACGGAGGTGTATCTCGTTTCCGTTGTTCGATTTTCCGCGTTCGTGCGCACACAACACACAATCTTACCGGAAGAGGCGCGTGTAAGATTATCGCTCTTCTCAATTAAAGCTGTAAAGTTGAATCTCGCTGTACCGAATGTAGCAATCGGCTCGCACCGGACCCGACTGGTCCAAATAGTGCGTGCACCGACTTCTCTTTCCCTCCTTCCCTCTCTTCTTCTACTTCTTCTTTTTGACTGAGCCGACAGTTACAGTCTCACACGAGAATCTCGTCATCCTCTTCTCTTTCCGCCTTCTCCTCCCTCACGGATATTTCACAATCGTGACGTCGGGCTCGATCGTGCTGCTCTCACATATGAGAGCCTTATGGAGATCTCCGCGTCTCCCTCTGTCTCTCTCGTCTTTCTCGTCATGTCCCGCGATATCGTAGGGATCGGTTTAACATCACGTATGACGGAAACGAGATACTTTTGAGTAACGGCCCGCTCCACGCGACATGTCGGTGAGAGACCGCCGGATCCTCGACCGCGCACGAACGAGGAATCTAGTACGTACATGTGATGCATATCTCTTGCCCCCAACTAGTCGCACAAGTTTGCTAGAGAGAAAGAGCGCGAGTCCGTGAGTGACCGTGTAACATAGAACCTAAGTCTCTCGGGCGATAGGCTTGAGATGAAGAACCGACATAGTAGGTATCATAATGCCGCAATGAGGCGACGTGTTTGAACCTCGGCTGCTTCCGCGTCGCAAAGAGAGGACGAACGCGCGAAAAGCAAGCCGCAGCGCTCTGCGTCGCGCCGCGCAGGAACGTATTTGTCCTTGATTTACATTCTTTAACGTGTACTCACCCTACTTCTGTCTCTTGTAAATCTCCAGTCCACAGCCGTGCGCTGCTTGTACCTGGCGGCGAAAGTGGATTCTCCGTCGATCGGTGGAGCAGGGCGGCGCGGAACGACCCGCGAGCGTTTAGAACAAAGAGAAAAAGAGGGGGAAGAGAGAGAGAGAGAGAGAAGAGAGAAGGAGAAAACAAAGAGAAAAAGAAGAAAGCAGAGAGACGCAAGGAAAGCGCGAAACAACGGCGACGACGACGTGCCCCAGGAGTCTCTAGGACTCTATGAAAATTTTCGCGAGTTACTTATTTCGTCGAGAAGAAGAACCCATCGCGAGCCACAAAGTAATCGTATCGTTCCGCGCGTGGAGTCTCGCGATCGTCGTGACGTTCCCGCTCCGATCGTCCGCGCTGTCGCGCGCTACACCCGCCCTCGCACGCGGCGTCCCGAGGATAATCAGAATCGAGAGGCGGCTAACTCTCTCTCTCGCTCGTGTAATATTTATATAGTAATAATCGCCCGCGATCGCGTCGCGGGATTTTGTCGTCGTTTTCGCTGTTTTTTCTACCTCTTCTCTAGAGATCGGGACGGCGCGCTCTAGCATTTGCGAGCCGAGGTAGCGTCGGGTTTGGGCAGCGCGGCAGATAGCGAGCCTAATCATATCGGGTACTGAGAGAGGGAAAGGGAGGAAAAGAAAGAGGAAAGAATGAGAAAGATGAGAGACGAAGGAGGCATATATAGTCTGGGAGAGAAAGGAAAGAAAGATCGAACGGTGGCACCGTCAGAATTACGTGGTCTGAAACATAATAAAAATAATGAAAGAATATTATAATATAAATGAAATAAGATATATATCTCTCTCTTCTCACTATATGATAAAACAAATATACAGTGAATAATAATTCTATCTCTCTTTGCTACCAAGTTGTACTTATTCTTAATTAATTTACTTGTACAAAAGAATGTGTTAAATAATAATGAAATATATAATATAATATACAAACAATTATAAATAATATATATTATAATTATAAATATAAATATATATATAAATATATATATATATATATATAAAAGAACACTATAATATATGCAGGTTGCGCCAGGACTCTCAGGTCGCCGTTCCTCTCATCTACGGATTATCTTTCTTCTATCGCGACGATCTCCCCCCCCCCGATGGAAATTTCTCCGATTCCCGACACGCTCGCCGATCGAAATTGAAAACAGCGAAACTCTTACCATTTCCTCGTCCCCCCTTGATTCGCTCGTGTATATCGTCCTCTCGTGACACTTTCTCGTCCGCGAGAAATCGAAATGTGAAATTCGATCGAGGGATCCCTGGATGAGAGGAAAGCAATCCCGACAATTCCGGGGCAGCCCGTGTACACACATGTATACATATATATTATAGTGTTGGTTATCTAATATTACTACAATCATACACTATGATTACGATGATTATTACTCATTTGATTATGATCTTATTATTGCCACTGTCATCACTGTCGCCGCTGCAATCATCTCCGCTAATCCACTCTACTGTTACCACTTCTACTGTCCACGTTGAGATCGCGAAAGACCGCGCGCAAGAATGATTCTCAAAATGGAACGACACGCGGCTCGAATTACTATTAGCGTACACGTATACGCGCGCGCGCGCGCGCGCGTATGTGTCGTCACCACGGTGCTAGCGATCATCGCGCGATCGTCCCCACCTGCGCCGCGATCTATCGACGACGACGAGGGTGATATGCGATACACACGATGAGTATAATTCACAGAACGCGATATCGTCAGGTTGCTCTTTATCCGAAGTCTGCACAGAGGGAAATTTTAAGAACAGCGATTGCTCTCGATTTACTCTCCTTCGTTCGAGCGACGTGGTTACCTTGGGCAAAGAATGTTTGCCCGATAATAGTCTTGAATTGTATTCGCAAAAGGACGTCATGAAACGCCATAATTTTAATCTAGTATCCTTGGTTAAGAAGTTGACGACGAAGAAGAAGTCTCGATGAGAGGGAGAACTAAAAACTTACTGCAATGTATTTTCAGTTAATCTAACGCTTGTGACAAATTCATGTGTTAAAAAAATTTGCGGACGCGTAGAAACTTATAAAATGCAACTTTGTCAGAGACTTTGACTTCCACGTAGCGTGAATTTCACCGTGTGTATTCTCGTTTGTGGAAGCGATCCGTTCGATCGATTCGCGCCGAAGAAGGCACGCAAAGGAGGCCGACTCTGACCGCGCGACGGATTCAGGCACTCCCCCCTCCCCCCTCACGCATGCACGACGACTCCATGGACCATCCATCCATTTTCGGATACCTGTCTCTTGACTTGTGCCTTGTTTAGACGTTCCAAATCGTTTGATCAATACGCGTATTAATCTCCGCCAGTGCTCGCGCTTTGACCGCTCCCCCTCTCCTGCCCCCCTCAGCTTTAACGAACATGTGAACGAACGAACGAACGAACGAACGAACGAACGAACGAACGATCGATCGATCGAACAAGCGAGCGAGCGAACGAACGAGTGAACTTTCGACCGTGTGTGTCTTCTGCCTTCTCTTCTTTCTTTTATATCTTATCTCTCGCCTCCCCCTCTCGCGAAGAAAATATTTCGCCAGTCCTCGGGAAAGTCGATCGCACGTCGGCCCTTGTCTCTCCCCTTTCGAAGAGAAGGTCTTCCTTACGTAACTCTTCTCGCGGCTCGTTTTCCATCTCGTTTTCGTCGCATCAGCTCGCGGACATACCCTTGCGATCGGACGGACTATTTCGGCTTCGAATCGGCAGCCTCGCGCTGCTTGCAACTCGGCTCGATCCTTCGTCCTGCGTTCAGGGTGACCTGACGACACTCCATCGACGACGCGGACGACGCTGAGCGGTCGGTCGAACGGGCGTCGTGCGAACGTGTCCTGCTTCATGAGCTTCTTTGCGCGAGTACACCTCCCAGCATCATTTCGCCTCCCACCTCCCCCCCCCATCTCTCTCATAAGCAGCGCTATCCCGAGAAACGAAACGAAACAGAAAAACGATCGGAAAAAGATAGGTAGAGCGCGGGAAGGAAGGCTCGCCGGGACCAACGCGACGCAGCGCGATG